CAAGTGTAGCAATAACCCTTTAATAAACCTTCTTATAATAACCAGTGAGGCCGAGGAATCCTCTTAACTCTTTGATATTTGTAGGTAGGGGCCAAGTAACCATTGCTGAAATTTTGCTAGGATCTGTACTGACACCTTGACCATTGATAATGTGACCAAGGTACTCTACTTGTGGTTGGGCAAAGTCACATTTAGATCTCTTGGCAAACAATTCATGTTGCCTCAACAAGTCTAAGACAATCTGCAAGTGTTTCAAGTGTTCATCCAATGATAAACTGTAGACCAGTATATCGTCAAAAAAGACTAAGATAAACCTCCTTAGATAGGCCCCAAAAACTTGATGCATCAAGGATTGAAAGGTGGCTGGTGCATTTGTTAAGCCAAATGGCATAACCCTGAATTGCCATAGTCCATGATGTGTTCGAAAAGCAGTCTTGTGCTCATCTTCTGACTTCATTCTCACTTGATGATAGCCAGACCTAAGGTCTATCTTAGAGAAAACTTTGGCTCCTTTCAACTCGTCTAACAAGTCCTCTACCATAGGAATAGGGTACTTATTCTTGATTGTTAAAGAGTTTAACCTTCTGTAATCCACACATAGTCTCCAAGAGGAATCCTTCTTCTTTACTAACAATGCAGGTGATGCAAAAGTAGACTGACTAGGTACCACTGTCTGAGCTTGTAGCATATCCCCAACCATTTGTTCAATAGCATTCTTCTGATCATAGGAATATCTATAGGGCCTCAAGCTGAAGGGTTGTGCTTCTGGAATTAAAGAGATGGCATGATCACAGTCCCTAGGTGGGGCAGTCCTTTAGGTTCTTCAAAAACATCAACATATTTGTCTAACAATGCTGAAACTGCTGGTGGTAAGTCCCCTTTTTCCTGAGTACAGATAGGGGAGTTGAGAACATACACCTCAGCTATGCAATGGCAAGCCTTCTTAATCAACATTTTGATCATCTCTTCATTGTCGATGGTTATCAATTCCTTGACTTCTTGCTGCCCTTTTTGAGTAATGAACCTGCCTTCTTTTAAAAATGATAAACTTAGTGGTTTGGTGTTAAGGACAACTAGAGCAAAATGATCAATCCAGTCCATACCTAGTACCAAATCACACCCACCAATTTGCAGAATTCTCATATCAAAACAGAACAACTCTTCTTGCATCTTCCACAGAAATGCAGGGCAATAACTATCAGAATACAAGATATCTCCATTTGCCACAACTACTTTCATGGACCTACCACACGGAATCTTCTGTAACTTCATTATCTTCACCACTTGAGGGTTCAAGAAACTATGTGTGGATCCACTATCCACTAATATAATGATAGGTGTTTTCTTCACATATCCAGTAATTTTCAAGGTTGAGGGTGAACTAGTTAACCCCACAACAACACACACAGAGCGTGTTGCTTGTTCCTCCTCAAGTATTTCTTCCCTGGCTTCCTCAAATACATCCTCTTCTTTCGGAGGGTGCATCTGCACCTCCTCCACAACTTCAGTTCCCTCCATCATGTGTAGATTTTTAGGCTTGCATTGATGACCAGGAAAATATTTGTCATGGCATTTGAAGCACAAATTTTGTTGCTTCAATGCTTCAAGGGTGGAATTTGGTTTGAAGGGAGCTTGACCTCTTTGGGTAGGATAAGTGAGTCTGAGAGGGTTGGTTACAGGTTGCTTAGTGACTGTAGGAGCAGGAAGCTGTTTAGTAGTAGGATAAGTGAGTTGAGGGTAAGGTTTGGGGGAGGCAGGATAAGTTTTAGGAGTGATGAGTTTGGCTAAGGCTTGAAAGGATTCTTCGTAGAGCTTTGCAGTTTCAAAAGCATCCATAAG